CTCACCCCTGTTGAGAAACTATTTCACCTGAATCAGAAGACTCAAGGGGAAGCCAAAGACATAGTAAGAAAATGTCCACTCACCAATGAAGGTTTTCAAACGGCCTGGAATAACCTGTGTGAGAGTTATGAAAATAAGCGTATCATAAATAAGCAACTAAAAATTCTTTTTAATCTAATTTCTATAGATAGTGAGTGTGGTAGCTCACTGAAGAAGTTGCAGCGCGATATAAATAATTGCTTATCAGCCCTCAAGAGCCACAACATTGACATATCGAATTGGGATGCAATTATTGTATATCTTTGCTCAACTAAACTTCCCGACTGTACGCTGGCTCTATGGGAACAAACCATAGACCATAAGAAAGATTTACCAAAGTGGGAAGACTNCTTCCCGACTGTACGCTGGCTCTATGGGAACAAACCATAGATCACAAGAAAGATTTACCAAAGTGGGAAGACATGGACAAGTTCCTATCGAATAGGTTTCAAACCTTGGAAACCATGTCAGGCATAAAGGGCACAAAGTCTGTAAAAGCGTCAAAGCCGCAAAACACCAGACATCCCTCAGAAGCCCCCACAAAAAGACTTGGCGCGTTCCAAACAAACGTAACCAAGTACACATGTAAAATGTGCCAAACAAATGAGCACAAATTACGCCGCTGTTCCCATTTCCTAAAGCTAACGCCAACTGAAAGGATAGAGTTTTTAAAGAGCAACAATGCTTGCCTGAATTGTCTGAGTTCTGGACATACTGTATCAAGATGCACAAGCCCTTTCAATTGCGGCACGTGTCACTCGCGACATCATTCGCTCCTTCACACCCAGACAATTCCGCCAAAGGCAACACTGCCTCAAACGCCACCGAGCTCTGCCAAAGATGTTGCCTCAACCTCGCAACAAGCTGCAGCAAGGCGTAACTTCAATAAAACTAACTCCGGTAAAAGCAAAAACGTTAAGTCTAATTATGTAAATATGAACTCAGGTGTACTTTTAGGAACGGCTCGTGTAAATATACGTCTCAATGGTACAGATTTTTCAGCACGAGCACTCATTGATTCTGGTTCGGAGTGTTCCTTTATAACAGAACGACTCAAACGCAGAATCAACCTGCCATCTAAGAATATGTATGCCAAAGTTTCAGGCATCACGAATTCAACTTCTGCTCAGGTCAAGGAGGCATGCAACATAGAACTACGGTCCCCTGTTGACCTACTGTTTAGCCTACATGCAACAGTGCTCGTGCTGACAAAATTAACTGGAAATCTTCCATCCTGCCATATCAGCGCTATGACTATGCAGGCATTTCCAGATCTGATTTTAGCAGATAAAAGGTTCTACGTTAACGAAGAAGTAGACCTAGTACTTGGCGGAGACATTTATCCCCAAATTATTTTGTGCGGCTTGAAGAAAAATGTTCTCAGTACACTTCTTGCCCAAGAAACCGTGTTCGGTTGGATTTTAACCGGTCGCACAGAAGCACCAAATCCAACAAACAACATAGTTTCTTATCATAGCGAAGTTGCCTTGGATAAACAACTAACAGCTTTCTGGGAACTAGAAGATATACCGAAAAACAAAAATTTAAACGAAGACGACAAGTATTGTGAAGAGCTTTATCGGAAAACGACTGAGAGAAACCCATATGGAAAATATGTAGTCTCGCTACCATTTAGGCAGGAATTTCCAGCAAACATTTGCCTAGGCCCCTCTCTTAAAAAAGCATGCTCTCAGTTCTTCCGGAATGAGACACGGCTTACAAAGGACCCCGTCCTGCAAAAGGAGTATAATAGGGTACTAACAGAATATGAATCACTGGGACACATGTCCAGAATAAATGGTAGCATTTCAGCAGACTCTTCCGATAACTACTTTCTACCCCATCACGCTGTGATAAAGGCGGAAAGCACCTCTACGAAAGTTCGGGTCGTCTTTAATGCCTCAAGCCAGACGGCTAATGGTACAAGTTTAAATGACGTACTTTACCCAGGTCCAGTACTCCAAGCAGATCTTCCAATATTAATACTCCGCTGGAGATTATATAGGTACGTTTTTAATAGCGACATCGAGAAGATGTACCGCCAAATTTGGGTGAATAACAACCATACCAAATACCAGCGAATAGTTTATCGTACAAACCCGAACGAACCTGTAAGTCTATATGAATTAAAGACTGTCACTTTCGGGATTAATAGCGCACCTTACCTCGCGATAAGGACACTTCTGCAATTAGCCGACGATGTAGAGAATTCTTTCCCAATAGCATCTAACATCCTACGAAAGTGCATGTATGTGGATGACGTGTTAGCTGGAGGACATAGCGTCGACTCTACCATTAAAGCAAGAGATGAAATCTCAGAAGTGTTACGATCAGCTGGTTTTCCACTACGGAAATGGACCTCAAATTGTGAGGAAATTCTTAAAGACATCCCAAAAACGGACCTTCTTAGCGAACATTTCTTAGCATTCGAAGACACCAGCACGGTTAAGGCTCTGGGCATAAAATGGAATGCCCATACGGATTTATTTTATTTTATTGCCAGACCATTGGAGGAGTACGACACTATTACGAAAAGGGCGATACTGTCAGCTATCGCCAAGCTTTTCGATCCGCTGGGATGGCTCGCAACAATAGTCATCGTAGCCACAATACTTATGCAAAGTATTTGGCTAGAAGGCACAGACTGGGATGAGACTGTGTCTGCTACTATTNGCTGTCAGCGATTGCCAAGCTTTTCGATCCACTGGGATGGCTCGCACCAATAGTCATCGTAGCCAAAATACTCATGCAAAGTATTTGGCTAGAAGGCACAGACTGGGATGAGACTGTGTCTGATACTATTTTAGAACGTTGGCAGCATTTTACGAGACATTACCACGAAATAGATAATATCAGAATACCTCGATGGGTATACTTCTCACCTGGAGACACCACCGAGATACACGGTTTCTGCGTCGCATCAGAAAAAGCATTNGACATTACCACGAAATAGATAATATCAGAATATCTCGATGGGTATACTTCTCACCTGGAGACACCATAGAGATACATGGTTTCTGCGACGCATCAGAAAAAGCATATGCGGCTACGGCATATATGCGTGTCAAAAGAGATGACAAAATTTTGGTCAATCTACTTTTGGCAAAAACCAGAGTAGCCCCCGTCAAAACTATATCGCTACCACGACTGGAGCTTTGCGGAGCTGTACTGCTCGCAGAAATCATAGAATCTATAATCAACAACCTAAACCTAGGACCAGTGAAGACACATCTATGGACGGACTCGACCATCGTACTCGCATGGATACGAAAGCCGCCTTGTTCTTGGTCAACCTTCGTCGCCCACCGAATCACGAAAATCGTAGAAAAAGTAGGGGAAAAGGACTGGCTACACGTAGACTCGGCCTCAAATCCCGCCGACTTGGCTAGCAGAGGACTACCTGCGTCAGAATTGGTCAACAATTCTTTGTGGTGGCAGGGACCTTCTTGGCTGCAAGAAGACAACTCCAAGTGGCCCGCTCAAGGAACAGACTATCATACAGAAGTCGAAGAAAAAAGAGTACACACTTATGCGACAACAAGAGCAAATAATATCGATATTCTTGACCGTTTTTCCGATCTACCGAGAGCTTTGAGAGTTTTATCATATCTTATGAGATTTTATCGAAGAACTCATTCGAAAACAAAAGATTCATTTCAGGAAAACTCTTGTTTAATTTCATCTAATGAAATTAAAACAACGACACAGATCCTGATAAAAATCTACCAGAAGCATTATTATGGTGAAGAATACGCAAACTTGAAGTCTAAAAAACCAATCGATGCAAAGAGTGAAATCCTTCCGCTTAATCCGTTCATCGATGAACATGACATTATCAGAGCCGGAGGTCGCCTTGGAGCATCCCAGGACTTAGCATACAACGAACGCCACCCAAGCATTATCCCGTATAAAAGCAGGTTGTGCCGCCTTATTGTCCTTGCATGGAGAAAATCAACTGATGCTACGCCTCATCCGTACCCAATACTGGATTCCCAAAGTCAAGAACATGATCAGGTCAACTTTCCATAATTGTAAGACATGTATTATCTTTAAAAAACGGTCAAAAAACTCAACTTATGTGAACTCTTCCTCAGGAACGCACTACATTTACTCGCGCTTTCACAAATACGGGGGTAGATTTTACTGGAACTTTTGATGTTAAAAGTTAACGCGGCAGAGGTTGTCGAGTTTCTAAAGGGTATGTCTGTTTATTTGTTTGTTTCACGACTAAAGCGATTCACTTAGAAGCTACNGGAACGCACTACATTTACTCGCGCTTTCACCAATACGGGGGTAGACTTTACTGGACCTTTTGATGTTAAAAGTTACCGCGGCAGAGGTTGTCGAGTTTCTAAAGGGTATGTCTGTTTATTTGTTTGTTTCACGACTAAAGCGATTCACTTAGAAGCTACTAGTGATCTTAGTACCCCATCTTTTCTAGCGGCGTTCGCACGGTTCGTGGCTAGAAGAGGATGTCCGCGACATATCTACTCCGACAACGGCACTAACTTTGTCGGAGCCTCACGATCCTTACGATCTGAGTTTAAAGCTTTTCTGTCTGAAACCCGAGAAAAAACTATTTCGAAATACAATCATCAAATGCTGACGTGGCACTTTATACCCGCTGCAGCGCCTCACATGGGAGGACTGTGGGAAGCGGGCGTAAAAAGCTTCAAAAGCCACTTTAGAAAAATTGCGTCCGCCCACAAATACACCTTTGAAGAGCTTAGTACTCTTTTATGCCGTATTGAGGCGTGCCTCAATTCACGGCCACTGAGTCCCTCTTCAAATAACCCTACTGACCTGGAGCCGCTTACTCCAGGCCATTTTCTCATTGGTGGACATCTTCTAGCCCCACCAGTATTAGACGTTAATGAAACTCCTGCCTCCATAGTGAATCGGTGGCAAAACTCAAAGCACTAAATCAAACCTTCTGTAGGCGATGGAAAACAGAATATCTAACTGAACTTCAAAAACGCATTAAGTGGAAACATCCCAAGGAAAATATTAAACCTGGTGACCTGGTCGTTATCAAGGAAGACAACTTAACCCCAACGGAATGGAGGTTAGGACGAGTTGTCAACGTACACGCCGGTGCCGACACCAGAGTACGAGTAGTGGACATCTTGACGGAGAAAGGTCAAGTCACTAGACCACTGGTGAAGTCGGTTCTACTCCCGCCAAGCAACGATGGAAACTCGGAGCCGACAACCACCTCGTAAACCATTTCATCATTATATCCCACTTCCTTTTTCCACGCGATTCCACTTCCTTATATTAGGAAGGATCCCACGACTAAGGAGTTCAAAATAAAAATTCGGTGATGGTTCTTACCCGGGTTTCCCCGAGTTGATCTGGTTACAAATAAACGACCATCATCAGATCCTAACCCAAAATACCCAGGCATTGCAGAGAAGTAAATTGCTTCACATCAAAATGAATTACAAACGGTGAAAAACCGGCAATTCCTGTACAACTTGACTTTTTCTTGCCACATATCCCTGGAAGTGTTTATGGAAGAATACTGTAACTTGGTATGGAGTTGTGTATACAAAATGTATCAATCGCTCATAGAAAAAATGTGAGTTAATAAAAAAGGAGGCATGTCGCCTCCCATAAGTACTAAAAATTTCTTAATACATATCTCTGGAAGGAAAGAAAATCTCTGGAGGTATTTTAAATTTGTTATGGAGATCTATTTTATAAGTGCCGTACTGACAAAAAAAAAAAAAATTCATTTAATGGAAAAGGGAGAGCCGGGTTCGGCCTCATAATGTAAAGCTGTCATGATGCATACATACCTCTTGGGGCATTTGCTACAGTAATGAGGAGTGGTATTTATCAAGGCCAGGTTACTAACTTTGAGTTGAAAATATTAGAACCCGCCGTGGCGCCTCCAAGAAGGTTACACGTTCACGTGTCGTATCTCTGGAACTATTTTAAGGTAAACTTAGAGGGATTTATATCTTTCGTATGCCTAGCGCGCAGACGAGATTTTATAATTTTATAGTTTTAAACCGCCGACAGCTGTGCTAGGGTTAATAGCCCGAACACAATGAAAACGACGAGCTGCGGAACACAACTGTCAAATTATTTTAACACGTACTCTTATGTAGATAAAAATTTTGGCGACGAACGAGCTAAGCGACGACAGTGATTGTGGCCAGATTGGATCTATTTCTATTTTTCCAGCGACAGATAAGGTTTTTCCTCTTCTTTTATGTCAAGCTCATACAAATTCATGATGTTGCTGTCGCGTTCAAAATCATGTAGTCTTCGACAAAGCCTTTAGATAATGAAAATAACCAATTGGAAGCTGTGTAGCTCGTTGTGTTCAAAGTGATCAGAACTTAAGAAGGCTTACAGCCGAAAATATGTTTGAGGAGGGTTGCCACCTGTTTGATAATATAACTAAATTTAATTGATAAAATCAGTGTCTTATTATAATATAGGTTAAGCAATTTGACTTGGAAATGTTTTTGAATAGGGTTGCCACCCATTTAAAAATTTTAACTAAGTTAAATTGATAAAAGAAAAAAATATTGCAATATGGGTATTGACTTAGATAGGTTTAAGATAGGTAACTGTCGAAAATATTTTTGAGAAGGGTTGCCACCTATTTGAAAATTTTAACTCAGTTAATTGATAAAATAAATGAAATATTGCCATGTGGGTGTCAAACTAAAGAGCTTTAAGAAGGCTTACAGCCGAGAATATGTTTGAGGGGGGTTACCACTTGTTCGAAAATCTAACTCAATTTAATTGATATAATAAATGACATATTACCATATAGGTATCATATTAAAGAGGTTTAAGAAAGGTGACTGTAGAAATATTTTTGAGGAGGGCTGTCACTTATTTGAAAATTTTGACTCAGTTAAATTGATAAAATAAATGAAATAGGGTCAGAATTTTTTTAAATCAGCACACACAAAAATTTTGGTCATATAATTTGATGATTTGTGTCTCAATCGATAGCTCTCAGAGTGAATATTTTGTCTTCTGAATGTTATAGCAAAAGTAAAATTTTTGCAAAACGTATTCGCAAAAAAAGTTTAAGATACATTTTTTTTTTCAAAAATTCATTATTCTTCGACGGTGTAAGTAAACTGAACAAAAAATACCACAAATGAAAGATATAGAAAAGACTTTGGTATACTTATATAAAATTTTTACTAAGCGTTTTTTTATAGTTTTTCGATATATCCTTTTAAAGGACAATTAGTATTTAACAATGTTCTCCGCCTAGCAGAAATTTAAAAAAACACGGTAGGCACATTGAAACCTTGTAAACTGAATTCCGAAGAGAAAATAATGGAGATTATTGCGGTTTAGGAGGAATCATAAAAAGAAAATACTCATAAGCATAAAAATTTAAAATTCTACGATTTGGTTTTACCTTAAGTATATGTGCTCAAAAAAAAAACATGCAGATTCAACTAGTCCTAAAATCAAATTAAACGGAAAATGCTATCTATAGGTCGCTAAAAAGCGTGAAAAGCTAAAATTACAAAGATACTGCACTGGAACGCATACATCTGATGCATTTTCTGATGAGCGTTAACGCACAGACTAATATTTATTATACACAGATTTATTTCTAAAAATGCGCACTCTAAAAGTTGATTTACATGCGTTGTTATTTTATTTTATTTAAATATTTAAATAGCGGGTTATTTGTTTATAAAATTTTATGCACATCACAAACAGTATATACAGAAATTTC